TGCCCAGCTCGATCGAGTCTCGCTGAACACATGACTCCTCCTCTAGTCTTCTCTTGTTGCTTGTTGCATTGTCTATTCACGGGAATTCTATCTAACGACATCACATCAGTGGCCTTGTGTAAGGACATACCCTCGCACAAACTCGATGAAATTTCGCTGCCTCGGGGTTACAGGTCACAGGCATTTAGTTCAGAACTTCGGGATCCCAAGTGCCTTCTTCAGATCAATGCCCTCAATGCTCCATATTCCTCCATTCATTAATACGATATATATATATATTAAATATAGACCAGATAGACTTGTGACCATGCTCCCTGTATTGCTATGGAGGCCGATCATCGACGCCTTTTGGCCCTTTCCTGATGACGCCGACGAAATGGAGAGATACACCCATGTCAGAGCTCGCTTGCAGCTGGCGCTCGTGTGCTGGAACTTTCACAGCATCGTCAAGTCATCTAACGATCGTCTGCACTTTGTTGGAGATGCGCTGACGGAGTACTTGGACAGCCACATCCACTCGCCATTCTGCTTGCTCTCGACATCGCCCATCACTCTCGAGCTGAGAATGCAGGCGCATCATCTCAACAGGCTGAAGCCACGATCCTTCACAGAGTGCCTCGAGCGAATGAATCTGCACCACGTCATACAGTTGCGCGCACCAGTCAGGATGCTGCCGTTGAGCCATCCGCTTCCCCAACTGCGGTGCCTCGAGTTGGTTGTCTACGATGACCTCTCCACCGGCTTCAGCTTCGAATCAGAGTTGGACACACTGCGGCAGCTCGCCACGCGACACAAGTCCGTCGAGAAGCTCTCGCTCCTCGCTCTCCTGAGCTGGGAGAGCAGAGACAACGACCACTACGAGCAACTGCTTGAGGCTTTATCCCACAGCTCCGCGCTACCACTCAAGGAGCTGCGGATCCTCGACGAGCGGGAACACAACTGCATCTCGACGCATGTTGTCGTAGCACCCGGCGCCCTCTTCTCGCGATTGAACCACTTCAAACAGCTCGAGTCTCTCTGGTTGGGCATCAGCCGCCCTGCAGTCTGGCGCAATGACAAGGTCTTCTATGAAGCCCTGGTCCACTTTCTCAGAGGGGCGACAGCATTGCGGTCATTGGAGATGCCGCATATCGAGGTTACTGGCGAGACGAGCATTCTCTTCCAACACCTGGTGCAACACCAACAGAGCAGCCTCACCGACCTATGGCTAGGAGAGGTGGACGACACCATCCCAATCAGATGTCTCCCGCCCGTGCTCCGTCACCTGAAGCGGCTGAATGTGAACTTCCTCACACCAGAAGGAATCGAAGAGGATGATGGCTGGGAACCCAGCCAGCTGCTCATAGATTCGTTCAACAACGTGGATCAACTCTATCACTATAACTGCTGGTGCACACCTCTGTCTCTGGCTACCATCACAAGGATCATCGCGGCCAACCATCGATCGACCGCCATCTATTGCCTCCATGTCTCGCTGGGCGAGGCAGACGACGTCGATCACCTGGTTGACACTATCCGTCTGAACAACACTCTCCAGACCATTGGCTTCCCACACATCACCTGCGAAGCAGACACGCAGAAGATCAATCAATTACAATCGTCATCTTGTCGGGTACGCTTGGACGAGTGAAGAATCATGGGTGATTTTTGATGATCGTGGTCATGGCTGGACATCAACGTCGACAACTTCAACACCATCAGCCACGACTGATATGTGGCGATTCAACAAGCACACAACAAGTGAACCTAGTTCACATTGACAAACACACAATCAAACATCATTATGATCAACTTCAAGCTGGATGAAGTTATAATAAATACATGTATAGTTTATATATATCAAATTTGGAGCAAGTGCGACAGAGGCTTTCGATCGACAACATAAACAACAACAACAACACACACAACAACAACAACAACAACAACATCAACATCAACATCAACATCAACATCAACAATCAATCAGAGGATAAGGGCCTAATAATAGATAATGTTGACTGGGCACGAGGTTGCCACCCTCCAACAACTGACCTTCCCGATCAGAGCAACGCAGGCTAATAATAGGGCTTGAGTACGTGATGGGCGAGCACACTGGACCATTACAGCTCGATTTAAATAATGTTGCAACGGTCGATTGTGCTCGTTCTAACGGCCAAGCCAGACACAACCATCACTTTGAATTCAAATCAGACAATCGAACTTCTAAGAGTCGACATACAACTCATCAATCACATACAACTGCATCGTTACGACGCAATACAATCCTATCCAACAACACGATCATCATCATCATCATCATCATCAACATGCCATACGAAACCCCAAGCGCGCGATTACATTTATCCAGCACAGACGCTTCATCAAGGACAACAAGATCCCAACTGCCAGACGCTGCTATGCTGTGAAGAATAAGTTCATTGAAGCGATGGACTTTGTTTCTGGAAGTACTAATGGTAAGGAGTACCTGGAACAGATGTTCAAGGCATCACAGCAGGAGCAGTCGACGGTAAGCAAACTCGCCTCGGTCCTCAATCGCTACCCAAAGCAACACAAACCATTCCTTATTGCACAGCTTCAGCAACAAGGACTCAGCAAGTGTGAGATCACCAAGACAGGTATTGCAGTGTCGAAGCATCAGTGGCAGAGAGCGTGCCAGCTTGTGAGCGGCGCAGCCAACAAGGCCATGCTCCCATTCTGGAGCGGCAACAAGCGCACTCGCGTGTCGAATGCCAAGGCCTGTGTGATTGACTTCTTCAACAAAAAGTTGGTTGAGGATGGCCACTGCTTCCCAAGCGCTCACCAGACCTCGGTGCTCAAGAGGGTGTCCAAGAGCTGCGCCACACAACAGTCTGTCACCACGATGAACTACTACGTCACTATGAAGGAATTGTTTGCACTCTATCAGGTTGAGTCCATCGCCAACGCGAACAGATTCATGCCCATCAAGAGCATATTAAGTCTACTCCACCTCAATTAATACCACAATATTGCCTAATCCCTGGAAGATCATTTCTGAAAGGACATTATATTTTTCGTTGATGGATCTTGTATTTCATTTATTATATTATAAGTGAATTGAATACCATATCAAATGCTTCGTTGATTGAATCGATGTGATCACACTTAGTTGATGGTAACACAGACGTGGGCAGTGAGGAGATCACATCCGAGCAGGTTGAGGTCGACATCAGCATTGACGTTGACATGGAGGTTAGAGAGACAACCGGTGAGACCATCGAGCAGACCAGCATTGCTGTTGGCACCCTGCATTCCATAGCTCATCGAGGAGCTTGCAATTGATGACTTGGACATACCCATCGAGGCAGTTGGTGTCATGTTCTTCATAGCGGCTATGTTTGATTAAGGATGTTAATATTAATTAAAATATAAATTGAGAGTGATTATGATTAATACTAATACTTACCAATAAGAGTCATTTTAGGATATTGTTTGAGTTTAGTTAATAATTAAATAAATATTATTTGTTTGATGATTTGAATTGAATCACCAAGTTGGTTTATTTATAGTTAATTGTTTGATTGATATTTATTCCAACGTCTTGGAGGTTTGGTATTAAGTTGATCATATTCCAACTATCTAATAACAATTAAGGTAATAGTAATCAATTTACAATTCCCCTTAATACATATCACTTAATTACTTTTAACTTGTTACGTCATCACACACTTTAAAGTGTTATTATAACCTTTAGTGTGTGGCAGGGGGGCAGGGGGAATTTTAACCGTCTTTCGATCAATCAATCAATCAATCAATCAATCAACTCGTTCATACACATAAAGAGAATAATATTTGATTCAAATTTGATAATATGATTTATATTTGTTCCTTCCTCTAAGTTGATAAAACTAAAAAGAAGAACTTACAAGTATTGTGATGATTCAGTTTTAATGTGGTCGTCTTCACACATGATCTGAACCAGTACCGAGGTGGGTTAGTGTGCCGACATTGGATAGTCAATCTAATTTGATCATCACTCCACACAAACACATAATTAAGAATGGTCTTTCCAAAGATAATTTATCGCCATATAGTTGATATACTATGGCAGAATCATTATAATCAAAGAGAAGAATGTTCGATGTTCCAACATATGGCTACCGGTTACTTGCCAGAAGAGTTAAGACAAGGAAGGGCTTGGTTACTATCGTTGGATCTAGTGTGCTGGGACTTCCATAGTATTGTAAGATCATTGAACGACACCCTAACATTATCATTCAATGGAGTGTATCACAAGTATGATCAACTACTCCCACATCTTACTGGCGACATCAGTGTAGTGGCTCATGAGTTGACCACGCTGACCATCAGACACACTGAACAATGGCCAGAGATGTCGATCATGGAGACGTTTGGTAATGCCGAAATGAAGGCCTGGATGCGTGGCGCCACACGATCACTCAGTACCGCCAACATCACATTGAATAAGTGTAGCCTCCAGATGTTGGAGGGCGCAGACATTGACAACTTGGAGACGCTGGGCATCGAGGTGTGCAGTTTGCCAAGCGGCCAGAACGATGACGTCCCACAGGTGCTACAGGCACTCTTGGACGCCAACCCAAACATCCATACGTTGAACATCACGACGCGTAACAATGACTTTGACTCGCCTGTCATCTACAAGAGGTTGATGAAGGTGTTGGCTGTGCTGGGGACCGGAGTGCGTCGCCTTTCAATCAAGGACTGCGGCACAATGTTTGAAGAGATCAATGTCAACTGCGATGACTTCTTCAACGACCTGGCCAGCAGTGCACCTTCTCTCGAGCATCTCACTCTCAGGACCAAACATGGAGTCGATCCTACAATGAGTCCACGCATCGAGTCGCCACACTTCTACAACTTGTTCGAAGGGTATCTCAAGATGCAAAACACTCTCAAGTCGTTGGAGTACAACGAGGAGATGCCTGTGGAGGCCGAGCGATTGGTAGCGACCATACTTCAATGCCCCAACATCGTGGATACCAAGTTTGTGGACGGTCTGCCATTGCAATACCTCGTGCCATTCAGTCGCCGTTTGGATCGGCTCATGGTGTGCATCGACTTGGATATCACAGAGGTGGCCACTGAAGTGCTCGAGAAGGTGTATCCATTCCTCAACAATGCTGATCGATTGTATCTGATCGTGCGTGACCTGGAGCCACCCATCGTGCCCATCATCAATGAGGTGATCAGACGCAGCCAGAACAAGCAGCTCTGGATAAGGATCGTGCCCGAGCTGCTGGACTTCTCTGACGCCGAGGTATTTGATCCAATCGCACCGGTCGTTGAGTCCAATCAAAACTTATCCTTCTTCCGGTTCGAAGTGGAGTGTTCCCGAGCTGAAAAAGGTGATCTAGCTGCACTTCGCAATGTGATTGAACAGCATCCAACCATCATCAACAAGTCTACAGCATTGACAATAGAGACTGAATACGTTCCTGGTTGGTGAGTGATCCCGACCGACTTCAAACCCCATCATCATTGCCCAATGCCAACAACATGTACGCACTACCAACAAAATACTACAACTACTACATACCTCGACAATCGACTGCCATCAACTCATACATTCACTCATTCACTCACAATCGATCATGTGATAATGAGCGAGTGAAGACATGATGGCGACTGACGTTACAAGTTCATTCTCAATGTGGTATAGTAGTAGATCGATCACACAACTTAAAAGGTTAAGAAACACACTCCATTGGATGGGCTGACTGGCAGTCTTGATGGATGAATAAACTCGACAACAACAATCAACTCGCATCCATCCATGTGATTGTAATGGGTGATATTCCTTTCCCAATGATGATTGACTTGTAGTACTTGTGTCTTAGTAAGTGTGAGTGTGAGGGGGTATCACATGATTGACTGATCATACCCATCACACTCATCATTCTCATCACGATCACCACTCACATGACACTCATCACCTTCACCCCAATGATCACTCGGGTTTATATGTGTTTGATGTCTAAGACAACACACATCTTGATCAGAGTTTAAGTTGGACGAATGGACTATTGAGTCAGTCCACTTAGATTGAGAGATGGGTTGTAGTCCTGGATATTCAATCAATCAATTACTTCACATTGGAGGTATGGACGTCGACCTTCCATCCATCACCGGGATATAAATCCAGACAATGTCCACTCATTCAATCATTCAATCATACAAACCAATCAATCCTGGAATCTTAAATTTATAAATATATATATATAACACAATAACAATGGAAGTACTAAAGGATGTAACACCATCAGTCTTTAGACTGGCAAATGGAATATGGACCAAGAGTATGGACGCTGAGTATAAGGAACCAGTTGCCTATCCTTACTCTGTTACGAATATCGCTCAGTATGCCCCACCACGATCACTACTGGAGCGCTTTGAGAGACGTAGGAACGAGTTGGACAAGTCACTGCCACTCGGCCGTCGCCTAGAGACCATCAACTGCTTCTTCCATCCAACGAGCGAAGCACATCTAAGGAGATTGTTGCTGGATGGCTGGACCAGCTTCAATGCCGCCGACATTGTATTCCACACCAACGCCTGTCGTGCCATCAAAGAGGGCAACACAGCATATCCCAAGCTGGTCATTGTCCGCCTATCCCTGGGAAGAGATGGAGTCGACTACACCAATGCCAATGGTCGTTATCGTGTTCGTGATCTAAGCAGTGCCATCACATCCTTTATACTTGGTTATAAATCTTCAACAATGCCTAATGCGCCATACACTGGTGTGTCGTCCTCGCCGCTGCAGTCCAAGCTACAGGTGCAGATGCAGCAAAAGCCCAAGCCATTGCCAACATTTGTAGTCTCAACCAGTAGTAGTGCATCCATTAATGCCAACGCCATTGCCAACTCCAAGTTTGATGCCTCTGGCGCCATGAAGGGTGACGGAATGACCTGTCTATCTTGCCGCTATGAGAACGCCGGTAACACCAAGTACTGTTGCCGATGTGGAGGACATCTTTGATTGATTGATTGATTGATTGGAATGGTACCATTCTAATTGCCATCCATGCCATCTACTGTACAATAAACATCTATTTATGAATCCAAATGGCCATCAATGAACATGTCTTCGTTGTAGTATGTCGCTCTGATCTTTCGTCCTGCAAAGTATCGATCACTTAGTTGTGAGTGACCCTTCTTGGCCTCATCAACCGTCTCATAATGTACAAAGATGCGCACAGCGTCGTCCGGATGCACCTGTCTGCCATTAACAATATGCACAAGTACAGTACGCACTCGGCCATACTTTGTGCACTCGCGCTTCATCTCTGAGTTAAGGTCTTCGTCAACGTCCTCCTTTGATATGATGTTCTAGATGTATATGCATGCATTAGTTAGTGTGATCATGATTGATCGATGTCCGCTCCAAACGATCAACATACAGTGAGCAGTAATATCTTTGTTGGTGCGCTGGAACTGTGTCGATCACGGGACATGCGCTGATGAGTGTCGCTGGTGGGCTGTTCGGACATGCCCTGACTCATTCTTGCCCTTCTCTGATATGCATCATCTCCAGTAGTATCTTCAGTATAATGTGTTGTTCTAGATGATGACGATGACGATGATGATGATGATGAAGATGAAGATGCAGAAGATGTGTTGTGATGATGATGTTGATGTTGTTGTTGTTGATGTTGTTGATGATGATGACCCCTTGATGATGAATCATGCCTCCTGTCATCATCTCTTCTCAGCTTTGCCATTTGCATCTGTTTCTTCTCCTTCAGATACTCTTCATAATCATTCGGTTTGAATGGATTATATTCGTCCAATACCTCCTCTTCCTCATCATCACGCTGATGATGTTGATGTTGATGTTGTTGTTGTGAAAATGATGAACTATGATGTTGGTGATGTTGTTGTTGGTGAGGTTGGTGAGGTTGATATAGTTTGTTTGTTGTTGAGGTCGTAGTAGATGATGGTGATGCAGCCAAGGTCGAAGTCGAGGTCGAGGCGGAGGCCGAGGTCCTTGGTTGTTTAGTGATCGGTTGTGAAGTGGATGATGTTGTGGTAGGTCGTTTGAGTGATGCTTGTAATAATCTTGGCGGTAACTTTACTGATGTAATAGGTGTATTTGTAGATGTTGATGACGACGATGAGTCTTTATCCTGGGTCATACTACTTGATGTTGAAGTTGATGTTGTAGTTTGGACATTAGTGGCTGATGATGAAGTCAATACACTATCCTCTTCCTTTATATCATCATATAATCCCATCTTATATATTATTAATCGAGAGAGAGAGAGAAGTTATATAACTAAAGTTACAACAACCAAACAAATAGATAGATAGATAGATAGACAATCAAATTACTTGAAGTTGTCAATCAAAGAACCATCAAAAAACATCCAAAATGGGCTTTTCAAACCCTTCATCAGTCTTTTGATCACCACTCATTCACATCATTCATTCAATATCTCTACTTCTTTCGTGTATAAATAGATATATATATTGTAGTGATTAATTAGATATATAGGTTGTTGGTAGTGACTTAGAAAAGTACAACATTACCATCAAAGAAATGGAGATAGAGATTCAAGATGAACTTAATAGCAGTGACCCTATCAAGCAGATGAGCGGTCTGCAGAAGCTCAACTTGAACTGGGTCAATCAAGGACGTGATCCAACATTGTTCTTTAACTCACTAATCAAGGTATGATATCATTGGACATTCACTCATTCGATCGATCAAACAATCAATCATGTTCAATCAATCAATCAATCATGATCAATCATTGACACGATGTTGTTGTTGATCATTTATATAGTGTATAGGTGATAGCGATAATAAGACAGCAAAGATACTGTCATATAACATACTAAAGAGTTGCAAGGCTGCTCAGAATGAATGGTATGTCATGCATGTCACCAGATGATTAATGAATGATAGGGGGACGGCAACACTCACACAGACACTCACTCATGATGATCATCATTAAATAGGTCACAGGCCATACCTGTACTTGTCAAGGACTTGAAGAGCGATGATGTAGAGGTGGTCATTAGCATTCTAAAGTCATTGCCACATATATCACCATTGTTGACAGAGTTACTGATGGTCGGCAACGCAGACTTTGGACATCTGGTACGCCACGCTAATCAGGCGGTGCGTCGAACAGCCCTCGATACATTGATGACCCTGTTGTTCTATCGTAAGGCCGTACTGCTGCAGTACAAGAGCTTTGTCAGCACGGGCTGGGACCTGATAGTTGAGAAGCTGCTGGACGAGCAGCTACCATCCGTGTACCAGGCGGCGTTCAATGCCGTCTCGACGCTGTTCTCAGAGATCTCGAGATCAGTGTCGCATACCGACGAGTTTGACAACAGCCCGGCAAGACGCCAGGCACTGTCGGTGCATGGAGACAATGTGGCCGCCAAACTGGTCGATCACTTTGACGTGCTGCTCACGCGCTCCGAGCACATTGAGATGTCAATGCGCCACGTCGCCGTCAACACACTGGCCTATCTGGCCGACACTATATCACGCGCGGCTGGTGTGCCCCTGTGGCCTACAACCGATGCGCCACGCCTCTCAACCAAACAGAAGCCCCTGACGTCGCCACAGAACATCGTCAACAACCTCGTCGACCACTTCCTCAGCCTGCTTGGCTCCACAAACGACGCTCTCGTCTTCTCGGTGGGCAAGGCTGTGCTGGACCTCCTGCTCACACAGGCCAACCAACACAACGACACGTGGATCCAACCCGTGCTCACCGCATTCGTCGGCCTGTTGCGCCGCGAGGGTGTCACGCTCAACCCACTACCCATCCTGCTGGCGATCATGGGCGTACTGCCAATGCTTAACGACGACCTGCTGCTGGCCACACTCGTACGTATCTTCCCCTCGATCAAGTCCATCACCGACTCGAACCAGCGTGTCAGCTACCTCATCCGCACATTTGAGTTGTTGATCGATCGCTACGTAACATCCACGGGCAAGGCCAACCTCTTTGGACCATTGATGACCGATCAGTGGATGGTGTCCACGCTTCAAGACGAGGGCAGTAGTTTCCGCGAGGAGATCGTTGTGTCCATGGTAGCGAGCCATCACAACGTCCTGTCGCGTAGCATATCACAAACAGACGAGCAGCAATCGCCACCAATGGGCAGCAGCGGCAGTGGCATCTCTGGATCATCGTCCTCCTCACAGATGTCCAAGACCACAACACTGTTCTACCTGCATCAAGTCGCCCTCAACATTGCCGAGGTGTGCCTCAAGTGTGTGTTGTGGCCTGTCGAGCGTCTGTACGCCCAGGAGTACTGTATCCGTTTTGTGGACTGGTTGTGCCGCGTCACGCTGCACACTACCCAAGAGTCGGAGCACTCGCAGAAGTTGGTGTCCCTTCTGCGCTCTGAGCTGCTTGAACAGATCGTCAAGATCCCATCAGACTACATCAGTCTACAATCAGTGTTCCTTATCGCCCAGCACCTGCTTAAGTCGCCCAGCAACAAGGTGTATGAGCAGAGCGACTCGATGCTGCTGGCCAACATCTTGCGTCTACGATTCCTCTTCCTGGACAACCAGGCTCGCTTCACCCAGTTCAACGGAAGCGTTCGCGACATGGTGATGGGCGTACCAATGTATGCACGCGCAATGCAAGCCAATCTTCACCCGCTGTCGGCCTTTTGGTTAGGCGCACTCGAGTGTCTCTACCTCCTAGGCGCCACAGTGCCCTCAGCCGAGACTATTGTCCTCCGAACTCTGGACGACCTCGTCAACACATATCCCGCCAACAAGGGTCTGGTGTCGCGCGCCAAGTTTGTCAAGAAGGCTCTCACAGTTCCACAGCTGCGCGCCACTCCATCTTTCGCGACTGCCAACCTCGACTTTGCCTTTTGTCTTCCCATCGAGTTCATTGAGAGTGCCATCTCATTGCGATCAGCTTCCGATATCTTTGCCTACGAATGCAAGAAAGCCATCACTGGCCTGGCTGGCGTGCATTATGGTTCGTCGATACGTGACCGCCCTTCAAAGGAGGCCGCACTGGTCAGTGGCTGCGGTGACCCTGTCTGGGTCGAGGTGATACACACTGCGCATCCAACACTCCACACCATCTCGCTGCAGGTCACCGTTACAAACAACGTGCGATTCCCTCTCAAGAACATTACCGTGGCACTCGGACTGACTGGCCACCTCGAGTTCCCGCACCCACTCACACAATGCAAGCATCAGATCGCAAAGCTGTTGCCCGAGAAGTCGTACAGCTTTGAAGTGCCCCTCTCTGTTACCGGCCTCGATCACAACGCCGTCACATTCTCCGTCACGTACAATCACCCAAGTGGCATGAGCGAGGTGGAGAGCGCAAGAGGCAACAAGCCGGCACCAGTCACAATGGTGCCAATTGAGACGCGATGCATGGACTACATACTCGATTGGAACCAGTTCCTCATCCCCTTCAAGTACAACCAGCATCAGTTCCTGCAGCAATGGCCGCGCTTCGAAGCCGCCTTCCAGGTGGACGTGGTGTTTGAGGGCGAGAATGTGACGCGCGAGCTCATCAACAGCTGCCTGCTGCACTACCCCTTCCACAATGTGGAGACGAGCTACTACGACGAGCACAACTTCCAGTTTGCCTTCTCGGCGTCGACCTGGTTCAACGACCAGCTGTGCTTCACTGTGACGGGCATGGACAAGCCGGTGCCCGCCGACTACTACCACAAGAAGATCATACAGGCCCGTTTCGAGTTCCGCTCGTCCAACGCCGGTGTATTGGCATCGTTCCAGAACGTTCTGGATCTCTGGATACACAAGCTGCCGAGATCATGCGATCAATTCCTGGCCAGACTTCAATGTCCAGGCGAGAACTCATTATTCTCGATCACCTCAGTCAAAGATCAATCATCAAGCGCATCATCAAAGTCAACACCATCAAAACAGAGCATCAGTGAGATAGACCTTCTCAACAAGTGGAAAGAGTCCAAATCCAATGTACAAAAGCAACAACAGCAGCTACCACCATCGACCTCATTGCTTCAGACGATCGAGCAAGAGTTCTATTGACATCGCATTGTGTGACACAATGATCGAACAGGTCCAGCAACCTCCCTCCCATCACAAAGCAAGCACATTGTATTATTAAATGTTACCTTATGTATGTCAACAATTACCAGGTCAAGGCAAAGTCAAGGGCAAGGGTAGGACCAACCTTATAGATTATGGAAATTTCCGAACATCATTCAGTCTAGACCCATCAGATTTGAATGAATCTTTTTGATTCAATTTCATGGGGGGATATTCGGAGCCCAAACGAGGGGCAAAGGGCGTAAACTCGGTTCAAAAAGTTGCAAAATGTGCCGAATGGCCCAAAAAGGAAGAGTATGGTCCTTGCTAGCCCCATGTTAGTGTATTTGCTATGAGTGAATGATGGATTCTTTATATACATTGACAATAAATATATTCTCACCATAATATTATAACTACAGATAATATATCATACAGATAAATACAAATATACAGATACAAACAATGGCAACAGTACAAGAGATTATTACAAAGTCCGATGAGATGTATGAGAGATCAGAGTTCGCCGCACTGTTCACTTTTATGGAGGAGTCATTGGCATCACATCCAGAGGAGGTCAATATTATGTGGCGTGTGGTGCGTTCATACTTTGAGCGCTACGAGTCGTTGACTGATGTACCAGCCAAGGTCGAGATATTGACCAAGGCCATCGCACTTGTGAACAGAGGACTCGAGTTGGAGGAGACCAACGCACCACTGCACAAGTGGTGGGCCATCATCACCAGCAGTCTGGGTGACCACGGTCCCACCAAGGACAAGATCGCCAACGCCTTCAAGATCCGCGATCACATCCAGCGCTCGCTCGAGCTCAACCCAAGCGACCCGACCACCATGCATCTGATGGGCCGTTTCTACTACCAGATCGCCAACATCAGCTGGGTGGAGCGCACCATCGCCACCGCCCTGTTTGGCGCGCTGCCCGTGTGCACGTTCCAGGACGCACTGGACTACTTCCTCAAGTCGGACGCCGTCGAGACCAGCACCATTCGCATCCGTAACGGATTGTTCATTGCTGATACATACTATGGCATGAAGGATTGGCCAAAGTCCAAGGAGTGGTACCTCAAGGTGGCCCAGATGGTTCCCAAGTCTGATGCCGAGCGTGCTCAAGTAAAGCAAGCTCATGACAAGGGTAACAGCTGGTAAACACCAGGTTGTCTTGTCTTTGTCTTATCTTTCGCCGCGCACATATGTATGTATATTGGACCAAATCATTCATCCCGTCATCCAATGGAATGAACCCCTTTGACCCAATAAACCCCTTGGGATTGATTGAGCTCATCATAATTACAATGATGATGTTCACAATCCCTAAGTATTGTATTTACAAATGACACTATATAGTGTCATATTCTGTGAATCACACAACTATCTCAGTGAGGAGAGAGACTGGTTGTCGACAATCATCATCACCACTCACCACTCACACACCAGCCGACCGACCGTCAGTCATCCATCACTCAAACAAACACACACTTTCTTTCACCACACACACACAAACAGATTGAGATAATAACTTGATTTGGAAGTGTTGTCGATTATGGTCAACACTCAAACACACGCATCAACTCAACTCAACTCAACTAAACGACAGACTGATAGGAATGGTTGCTGAACCATCCAGCTCACATGTGGCATGCCGATGATTATCCATCCACACACTCATTCACCAAAGTATTGATTGATATGTACTATGCTTGTCCAGTATTATTATCAAACATATGTCCTCTCTGCATATGCATATGTGGGTTGTTCATTGCCATCATCATGGAACAACACCCCTCCATACCCACGTCCCATCCAAGTAGTAGAATGACTGGTCGTGAGGTGACCGGACATACGCATCTTCCGTCACTGACTGGTCTGGATGGACAACCTCACTACAAGCATATTGTTGTTCACACTACGCATTGGATAATTATCCACTTATTCTCAGACTTCTTACCTCGACAACTGTCCATTACTAGCTTTATAGCTTTATAGATAAAGAGAGACAAACAATCCTGTCTGACTGAGTGTGTGACAGATTGAGAGAGAGAGACACACAAGAGATAGATAGAGAAGTAGTTGGACAACAAACTATATCAAATGCTAGGTACACTCAAGCAAGGAGGATACACCTCCTCCTTCAACAACAAATATTTCATATATATATGCTGTTGCCTAGTTGTCCTGGCTACATGGTCTGTGACTACAACCTCAGCCAGTAGTCTTGGAACCAGGTTCAGTCGAAGCAACAGTGTAGTCACTACAACAGACATCAAGTCACTACGAGAGGAATATGACTATATTTTAAAGTATGTATAAATATGATAATATAATACACACAAGGATAATATGACATTTCCAAATCAGGTAAAACGACATTGATCATTCACACAATCAATCACACTTCAACACAACAATAGAAATATCAACAACTTGGACTTTAGTTATGACAAGGCCATATGGGATATAACAAAGAGTTTAAATGCGATACAGTATAAATCAAACTTTAATAACAACCAGTCCTTGGACTTGAGTAAGTGCGCCAGACATCCCATCCCATGCTATCGCTAACTAATTCATCAACTCGTCTCCAAACAACAAAGATTGGTTCCCATTTGAAAGTCCAAACAACGATAACAAAGACAATGATAACAACAACAACATTGAAAAGGAACATAGTGAAGGCAACAGTTTGTCAACAACTACATCGACAACAACGTTGCCACAAAAGAAACTGAACATTGCTATTGTAGTGTCCAGTTTTGAAGGTCTCTACTCAACCTCTGGTATTGGAACGGTCTACTCGATTCTGGCCGACTTCCTTGTGGCAAGAGGTCACGAGGTCACCGTTGTGTATGCCAGTGATGAGGTCACCGATCGTATGTCTTTCACTCAGTGGAAGACATTGCTGAGGGATAGACGTGGCATAACATTGGTCAGCTTGCCGCCCTCGCAGGTCGTCCTGGACAACCCGCATCTAGTCAAGCGCTCGTACCGTGTCTATCAATACCTGCGCGACACTCAGTACGACCTGGTGCACTTCCCCGACTTTGAGGGCATGGGCTACTACACATGTCTGGCCAAGCACAGTGGCCAACACTTTGCCTCCACAAGTCTTATAGTCGGTCTGCACGGTCCTTCGGCATGGGTCATCCAGTCGAACCGCAAGCATGGCGCCACACAAGAGTCTGAGTTTGAGCTCGACTACATGGAGCGCAAGTCAGTCGAGTACGCAGACCATGTGTGGACGCCCTCCATCTACATTGTCGACTGGCTCAAGAAGCAGGGCTGGCTCATCCCTCAGGAGCGCCTCTCACTGCTCCCCTTCCTTGCGCCAGTTGTCTCAGAGGACTCCGCCACAAAGCATCACCTGCAGCAGGACAGGACCACGCAGCCGATCCAAGAGTTAGTTTTCTTTGGTAGACTGGAGAAGAGAAAGGGTGTCGTGCTGCTGGCCGACGCACTTGACCTGCTGGCCCGACACGACAGCAGCACGTTTGAGCTGCGAAACATTCGCGTCACCTTCCTTGGTCGCGCCTCACACATCGACGAGGTGTCCTCCAACAAGTACATCAAAGAGAGGGCCAAGCGCTGGCCCTTCAAGATCGAGTTCATCGCTGACAAGACATCCGAGGAGGCTTTGGACTACCTGAGCAAGCCTGGTCGTCTGGCTGTATGTATTACAAACTCAACATATCATTCGTTTCGTTCAATCACTCACTCACTAACTCACTCACTCAATCAATCAACATAGATCATCCCATCACTTGAAGATAACGCGCCTTACACTCTGTATGAGTGTTTGTACCGTGGCATTCCATTCATTGCCAGTTCGACACCATCGATGATCCCACTCATTGATGCACGTGACAGAGATGACGTGACATTCGACGTCAAGCCATATCTCCTGTTGCGTAAGCTGTCGTCCGCCATGAAGAAGGGCGTCACCATCGCTCGTCCAACCTTCACCGCCGACAAGTCCCTTCAGTACTGGACGTCCTTCTACGCATCGCTCGAGAACCAACAGTTGAGGATGTTGGCAGCCAGCACTGAGGACAGCAGTGAGCAACAGGAGCCATTGGTTTCCGTGTGCATTGTTCACTACAATCGTCCACAGTTGTTGTATCAAGCATTGGTATCCATTGAGCAGCAACATTATTCCAACTATGAGGTGATCCTGGTGGACGATGGAAGTAACACAACCGAGGCTCTGCATTACCTTGACAAGCTGGACGAGAGCTTCAAGTCCAGAGGCTGGCAGCTGATCCGCACAGCTAATCGCTACCTTGGTGCGGCCAGAAACACAGCTGCACGCGCAGCCCGCGGTCAATATCTCTACTTCCTGGATGATGATAATGCCGCCTATCCACAAGCCCTCAGCACCTATGTGCGCATTGCTCAGCATACTGAGGCCGATGTCGTCACTGCACCTCACTCGATCATCATGACAGTCGACCAGCCCGATGCCAACACTCCCATCGATCGCCAATGGGCTCCATTGGGTCCATCACTCTCAGTCGGCCTTTTCAAGAACTGTTTTGGTGATGCCAACTTCTTTGTTCGTCGCGATGTCTTTGACAATGCAGGCGGATTCACGGAGGAGGTCGGCGTCGGTCTGGAGGACCACGAACTGCTTGCCAAGCTGGCAATTGATGGCCGTCGCATGATAGTTGCACCTGACCCCTTGCTCTACTACCGTATGCACGACACACGAGGCCAGATGGTGTTCAAGACCGAGAAGCACCTGAATCAAATGCGTTACATACGTCCATATCAGAGCGCCTTTGGTGGTGATGCCAAGCCTGTCATGAAGCTTCTGGCCAGTATCCAGGAGGACCCAGCCACATTGGCCCCACCCACGTGTAACATCACAATTACATCGGTCAGTCCCAACAGAGGCCCCGTGCGTGGTGGTACCAGAGTCCTCATCTCTGGTTCAGGCTTTGATTGTCAGTTTGCCAACATCTTCTTTGGCCAACATCCATGCCAGAAGGTCGAGATGGTCAACTCGCGTCAACTGTACTGTGTGACGCCCAAGGGCTTTGGCCCCGAGACTGTGGACGTCATCATCTGGTCCAAAGGACGTCCAAGCACATTGTTTGCCGGTTTCACCTACGTTGCCGACCGTGCTCCAACACTCACCGAGTGTGATCTGGATGGCGCTGGCAACATTGAATGTCGTTTCAGCACAGAAGTTGGCCCAGTCAAGCCAGGCTCATCTGCGTGTAACACATTCTTCTCACCGGGTACCGTCAACATCTTGGGTTCATCGCCAGTCTGTACCTTCACCAACAACGACACGCTCACACTTACTCCCAGCAGTGACGCATCCATCGATGTTGGCGACACTGTGGAGACCCTACCTGGAACCATCGAGTCACCTGATGGTGAGTTGAACAATCAAGAGTCCACACAGGTTAAAGTGAAGGACCGTCTGCCACCACTTGCTGTTATCAAGGCCCCAACTGAGACCGGTACTTGTGGTCCTATGATCCTGGACGCAAGATACTCTCTTCCTGGCTCCGGTCGTCATCTCAAGTATGAGTGGAAGTTAGTGTCGGCGCCCGACCACCAGAGTGAGCTCGAGTCCATCGTCCAGAGCACCAAGGATGCCTCCCTCGTCATCTCCAACTCATCATTCCAAGCTGGCTCGTCCTACACATTCCAGCTCATCGTCACCAACATCATCGGCCTGCAGGACAACTCCACCGTCACAGTCAATGTTGTCGCCGGAGATGGCTTGCACACAATGATCGAAGGCCCACACGAGATGACCATCAGCAAGAATGATCTTCAAATCGAGGCTGAGGCATGGTACACCAGTTGTGTCTCGTCGGGTGAGGACCCCAAGATCACCTACCAATGGACAGTCACACCGCCACTCACATTGGGACAGACCAACAGCAAGACATTGTTTGTGCCATCCGACCAATTGAAGCCAGGTGCATCATACGTGTTCACACTCAATACTGCCGCCGCCGACAAGAAGGCCACAGCTACTATCAAGGTCAATGTCCGAAAGACTCCAGTCTACACATTGATAAAGGGTGGAGACAAGACTGTTAGCAGAGGACAGACAGTCACACTTGATGCCTCACAATCGAGCGACCCTGATGGAGGCAACCTCCAGTACTCATGGACTTGCACTTCATCAGATGGATCAGATTGTCCCCTGAGCTTGCCCTCCGAGCCAATCGTAAGCTTCAACAGCAGTGAGCTGCCAGTTGGTGCCTACACCTTCAAGGTTACTGCGACACCAAGCGATGACCCCAAGCGCGCATCCAGTGCGGTTCGATCAATCATTGTGACCGACACTCCAACCATCAATGTTGAGATCGACACCAGCATGCTTCCCAAGCATATCGACCCCGGCCAGAAGCTCGTGTTCAAGTCCATCCTAGTCAACAACTCGATCCCAATCTCGCGTCTGACATTCGACTGGAAGATGGACGCCGGCCAGCTCAAGATGGACCAACCATACGCCACACCCACCAACCAGCGCAACCTGGCTCTCAAGTCTGGTGCACTAGGCGCCAGCACAATGTACACCGTGAGCGTCCATGTCATGGACAAGCTTACCAATATGACAGGACAGGCCTCAACCACGTTCCGCACAGAGGCCGTGCCGTCCGGTGGCATGATCAAGACCAATGCCACCAATGGAACTGTGTTTGACAAGTACGAGGTCACCCTGGGCAAGAACTGGGCCGCCGACTCTGGCATCCTTGGCTACAGCTTCCGTTATAGCATTGGTGCCGACCCTCAGGAGTACCCAATTGGTGAGCGTCAGCCCTCGCCAACCATCAGCACTTACCTGCCCCCAGGAGAAATCAAGGTCAAGGGTTACGCAATCAGTGGAAACGGTGCAGCATCGTCATCATCCACCTCCATCTCTGTGGCTCAGCCATCTGCCGACGACAAGGAGAAGGTGTTGTCATTCATCACAGACCTCGTCACCAAGGACAATCTGAACCTGTATGACATCACATTCGCCATTCGTTTGGGTAACAGCATCCTGCCACCAGCAGGCGCTGGCAAGCTCGTTTCCGACGCACAGGTCTCTCAGACTGTGAGCTCAATCAAGACATCGGCCATCAACTTGATCTACAACATGATGAGCACTAAGGAGATGACCTACACGCCAGAGGGCATGACATCAGTGGTTGACATCCTCGACCTGGCCACGCACATCAACCAGGTGGTGCCACCCCAACATCTGTCCAATGCCCTGGCCATCATGCGTCTGATCACTGAGAACTACATCCAGAACCCGATCCTGCCATCTGGTATCACCTCATCAGTGAACGTGGTCAGCAACGTCAACTACCCAACTTGGCAAGCAGCTCAAGAAGTTGGACGCCAGCATGAAGGACACCGCACTCAATGTGTCCAACACGCTCAGTGTCACTGCCGACAACATTGCCTCTGCACTTTTATACCGTGCCACAAACGGTGAGGAGCCGATCATCATGGGCAAGGAGGGCGTCACCATCTCAATCTTCAAGCGTGATCCTCTGGCACTCAACGCCGAGGGGTGCCCTGGCCATGGGCCAGTCGGACGACCCATCGTTCTACTTTGCTCCGGGCTTCCTGACCAAGGTTGCCGATCGTGTCAAGACCGTCGAGGAGGTGGGCGCCAAGTACATCACATTCGAGGGCAACCCACATTTTGATACCAAGGTGGCCGATGGCTTCACGTACATAAGTCGTAACGCATTCGCTTTCAACTTCCAGGACGAACACAATCAAGAGATCGCATACCATGAGGCCGATCAGCCCATCGTTATCGATGCTGGACAATACCCGAATGATCACGACTACAAGTGTGTCTGGTGGGATGACACCACATCTCTCTGGTCCAGCGAGGGCTGTACTACTGAGTTCCGTAGTGGCCGTGTCGTCTGTCAATGTAACCATCTGACCCAGTTTGCATTGCTAGGACGTGTCCGCGCCAAGAGCAACCTGACCAGGATCCTGATCATTGTTGGATCGGTCGTTGGTTGTGTCCTGTTTGCCGGTCTTCTCGTCGGTATGTTCGTCGTGGCCAAGCGCAGACGTCAAGCCAAGAAGAAGGACCCCAAGAAGCCAGAGGACAAGAAGAAGGAGGAGGCCAAGGAGAAGAAGGAGGCCAAGAAGATTGCCGCCAAGGAGAAGAGGGCCACGGCAGCCGCAACCGCAGCAGCCAAGAAGGCCGCCTCAACCAAGGGCAAGGAGAAGGACCCTGCCGCCGCCGATGAAAACAAGCAACCTGGCGAGGGTGAGGGCGAGGGAGACGCGAGCAACATCAACGTACCAATTGCCGCCGCAGTTGGACTGGATGGCGAAGCCAGCAGCAGCGCCAAACAGAGGATCACCGAAGTATCATTTGGTGATGAGAACGAGAATGACTACATTCTACAAGAGTTCAAGGAGATCTACGAGATTGTCAAGCAGCGTGAGCAACTGGCCACACCAAAGAAGCAACCGCCCCCAGTGTCGCCACTGACCACCAACGGCTCAATCAGCTCCGCCGAGCCGAGCCCCGCCACATCGGTCCCATCAATCGCCTCGACACCCGAGCAACACGGAGTGTACACCGAGGTACATGAGCAAGCAGCACTGCGCATCCAGCGAGTGTGGAGACGTCATCAGGCGCAGGTACAGCTGGCCAAGGAACTCGAGGTCGAGAACCTGATGGACAACATTGGTAACCTTTTGGCCGACATTGACAACATTGATCCATTGGACGACAACAACTATGGTGATGACTTCTACGCCGACATGGATGCAGAGATGAACGACGATTAATCATATATGGATGCACAACAGAACTGTTCTGTGCACATCAAATAAATTATTATTATTATTATTACTATCTATATACAACTGTGATTGATTGATTGATTGGATTGGATTGAATTGCATTGATTATCTTCTTGGTGCCATACTACTTCCAATTATAAATAGACCAGCCAAACCAAACAGAGCACCAAGTACACCAACACCTCCATGAGCATGGTATGATTTGAATAACATTGTGATTGCTCCATAACCAAGAAGTGTTGGAGCGACCACAACACCTGATACTGGATCCTTTGTTACTCCTGTTGATAGGTTCATTGTACCCATGAACTGATAATGATGATGTTAGCGTCTAACTTCATTCATTCATTGAATGAATACATTACTTACTCTTGCGACAAAGTATGCACCACCGAATACCATTGCAGCACATATCGGTACGTTTGATATGGTTGATAGAGCAGAGTCTCTGAACCATCCATTGACTACCAATGCTGTAGTACTTCCAACACAACCAAAGAGTATTGGTACACCAAAGATCATAGCCTGCATTATTGTATTTGTTTGTTTGTTGTTGTGATTGAATAGAGTTTAAGATAAAGATATATTGAATGTTGTAGAATAGATAAGATGTAGCGGCCGCTACTATTTATACAAAACAGATAGTAGACGATGATGACAGATGACACTTTGACAAGCAAAGATCATGATTTTAAATTGAATCGTTGAAATTTGTGAACAATGGGAAATCCCACCAAGACCACCTTCATCAAGCCATTACCTTATTTGGAAATAGAAATCGACAACTCTTTGTTGTTGTACACATTTGTGATAAGAGAGATAACATGTAACTCTAATCAAACCATCTTGAGAACATTTTTAAGAATGACTAATTGATTATGTTTATTATCTCTCAGTTGACTTTGTTAAATATACAATTATCATTATCACTAATGTAATGATATAAACAATGATATATGTTTATCTGTGCAATTGTCTTGTTGATAGGTACATTTGAAATCTAACAACTAGGATGTCATGACTAATGAAGCATTGCAGTTCATAAACAAATACCCCTTGTCGCGCTTTGCCTTGGGTCAAACCCCAAATTGACAAGCCGACAACGAAGATATTTTTTGCGACAAAACTGTTTCCGATACCGGGACTCACAACAGTTGGTACCTAAAACAAACAGGTTCACCATTGCTTCTTTTTAGAAAAGATATACACATTTAAAACATATAAACTTATAAGTTACATCTTTATATTTATATATAGTAAAGAACACTTCAGTAATGACAGAGACTCAACCTCTACTTCAAGAAGTGTATGTCACAACAATAAGTCAATGTCTCTATTTGAATGATTGAATGATTGAATGATAGAATGAATGATGTTGTAAGAGTAGGTGATGTGTTGGTGCGATTGATCAATCGATCTGAACACACATCATTCAATCAACACACAATAATAATGACTGGTCATAGTGTGTTGTGTAGTATTACATTACACTTCATCCTACAAATAACAACTACGACAAGAGATAGAGATAGAGTGACACAGAGTTAGAGTGGAGGAGGAGGACAACAACATATATAAAGAATGAATAAATTAACTAATCACTCATCATCCTCTTCATCATCATCATCATTGTCAACAATGCCATTATTATCACCAATTGCTATTGATGCAAACTATGATGATAACAACATTGACAACATTGACAACAACCATATCATTCCAACAAACAATGATATGATTATAAACAACAACAATAGTGATAGCGGAGGAGATGTTAATAATGACATCATCAACAACAAAGGTGATGACGATGTAGCTATAAACAATGAACTCAAGAAGAATACCCTGTCACTGACTCATTGTCTGGCCATGTCCATCTCGGGCATTGGACCAACTTGTATGTGTTTGGTGACTGACTTGAACACGACCACATAGACTGGCTACGCCATGACCACGGCAATGACCTAATCACATCCATCACAATCAATCAATCAATCAGGCGGACTTTACTTTGTCGTTGGCCAGATCGCCAAGGTGGCTGGAGCCAACGTACCCTTCACACTGATCCTGGCAACGATTTGCTGCCTGTCGATGGCATCTACGATCAGCACGTTTGGAAACTATATATATAGCTCGGCGTCGTTCTACTGCTACGTGTCCGAGGGTCTCGGAGGCACGATGGGCTTCATTACTGGCTGGTTCATGCTGGTCGGCTATGGCATACTCACCGTGCAGACCGTCATCCAGTTCAGCTCGTGGACGTCCGATGTATTCATGAACGACCTGTCGGCCGATGTGCCCTGGGTTGTGTTTGCCGCCATCGTACTGGTACTAATCGGTTCACTGGCATACATTGGTATCAACCCAGCGCTCAAGATCAGTCTGGTGTTGGTGTGTTGCGAGACCGTAATCCTGCTGGTGCTCACAGTCATCATCGTGGCCAAGGGTGGTGCCGAGGGTAACTACCCCCTGGCGTTCACACCTGTCGGCAAGTACAGCGGCGGCTTTGGTGGCTTGAGTACTGGATTGGTGTTCTCGATCCTCGTCTTTGTCGGCTTTGAGTCGGCTGCCATTCTAGGCGCCGAGACTAAGAACCCCAGACGCACCATCCCCCAGGCTGTGGTCGGCAGTGTCCTCATCACATCCACATGGATGACCTGGGGCATGTACGCCGTGATCATTGCCGTGGGACCAAGCAATGCCTTCACACTATACGAGATCAACTCGCCCATGCACGTGTTTGCCAAGAAGTACATTGGACAGTGGTTCGCCTATCTTATCGATATTGCAGGCATCAGCACGACGTTCAACGTGTGCACGGTGAGCTTCAACAATATGTACAGGATACTCTACTCGCTGGGCAAGGCCGACATGCACCCATCATTCAACCTGCTCGCCAAGACATCTGTGCGCTTCAAGACTCCATTGGCATCGATCATCTTCTTCACGATTGCACAGGCAGTGTTTGTCATCATCATTGCCGCATGCTTTGGACTCAAGACCACTGGCTCATGGAAGGCCTATGGCTACCTGTCGTACATTGGCACACTCCCACTGATCTTTGTCTTTATCTTTACCAACATTGCCGTGATCTTCTACGTCAAGAACAAGCATCCACAGGACTTCCACAGGTTCTACCATCTGGCGCTACCAATCTTCTCTGGACTGCTCTTTGTCATTGTGCTGTTTGGCAACTTTTATCCAGACTATCCAACACCGCCCAACTCCTACTGGCTCATCTTTTTGGGTGTGGCTATGCTGGCAGGCATCATCCTGGCGCTGGTGCTCAGGAGCAAGAAGGGTATGTTTGAGAACATGTTGTTAATGATCCAGAGTGGAGGTGAGGAAACAAACAGTGAACCAAAGCATGTCCACATTCAATAAATATCTTATGTGTATGTGCGCATGGATAGCGTCTGATCGTGTCGACAGGACATCCTAGCCATCACTTCCCAAACCTGTTCAGACTCATATGTACTCCTGTCAACTTGGGATTTGATTCTATCATTTAATGTTGGTTGACTGAACCGAGGTCACTCAAATAGAGGAAAGTGTTCGGTCAAGGGGCTGATGGGTAGCCTCCATTGAAGGCCTTGAGCTCTTGCTCACACTTGCCTGAGGGGTAAATGAAGATCCATACGGCCAAGTCCTTTGAAGGATGGTCAGCACGACGGTGATTGATCCATTTGAAGTCAGTGGTTAGGAAATCGAGGATAGTTGGTATCAATCTCCAGTTCTCGTTGGTCCATACCCCATCTTGTCCATCTTTGATCCTTTTGAAACTTGTTAAGGCCAGAGTTCGGTTCAAATCTGTTGTGACATCTAGGATAGTATCCCTTTTTGGGGTTTCGTCGGCTTGGACTCTCGTGGCTACTCCGGCTGGGTTGATTTGGATCATGGCTACCAATTTCCCATTCAAGAGTGCGGACCTGATTAGTCCAATCATATCATTGGCAGGCATTGGAAATTCGGTGGAACGTATTCTCTTCCTGACATCTTCGTCTGACCACCAAAATGATTTCTAATAATCATTTAGATAGATTGATCAAGAAATGGAATAATGAGATTGTTAGAAATTATTATAGTAATAATAGTTTCTCTATCGTATATTTATAATATTACACACTTAATAATGAACTAAAAGGAATGAATAAGCAGTCCATTGTTGATTGGAAAATAGCTTGTTTTTCTTGATCTTTGTTAGATGTACATCCATCTTTTGTTTCCATGGTTGTGTTTGAGGGTACTGTCAATGTCATTGAGGTGAGTGAGTATGAGATGTGTCTATTTAAGACAATGTATTATTGATAAGTTTATTGAACTTATATGACTCTGGAGGATGATAATGACAATGAACTCGGTTCCACCCTTAATGACAAGTCACCTCAGTACATCTCAATCCAATTGATCAATTAGGACTATTGGTAGATGTCTTTAGACGGGGTCGCCACCCACATCCGGATCAAACAACTTGATTCCTACTTATAGTACAGTGGATCTATGTTTATCGTTAACTTCATTTAGTCTTCATTTACATCCATCCCACTAGTTCCAAAAGATAACTGATTCATCTTATTACAAAAAATTTCATTTATGATTCATTCATTCAATCATTCGATCAATCATATTAATACATATATATATAAAAATATAAAGATTAAATGGACTCACTTCCACTGATTATCATCAGAGAGATATTCAATGAGTTGATCATTCATTCAACTTGTGATCATGATCAAACAGATCATTCTGCTAAAACATATGAGAATAGTCTTAGGTTGGACATACTCTGCTTTGGCCTAACCTGCAAACGAAGCTTCAAACTCATGTCTAAGCTGGTACCACGTATCAAGTTCAACGCTAATACGCCATGCATTGAGCATGTCGTCAACAATGACGATCAATGTGGAGTGATCTATGGATGCCAGCTCTTATCTCAGCCCAACTCATTACCTCCCAATTTGAAGACAATACTCTACGTTCATAGCATCGCGATCATACCTGGCGTTCTTCCACCGACCATCACTAGGTTGTGGTTTGGTAGGCTATACAACATTCCATTGCCACCTAACGTGCTACCATCATCACTAACAGAGCTCAAGATGAGCGTAAATTGGGACCAACCTTTGGAGCAAGGCACACTGCCACAGTCCATCACTCTTCTGGAGTTTGGCCAAAATTTCGATCAAGTGCTGCTGCCCGGCGTTCTTCCAGAGTCTCTCCTATCCCTGACCTTTGGATCGTTCTTCCAACAGATGCTCGCTCCTCGTGTACTTCCTTCATCACTTACTTATCTCGAGTTTGATCAATCGGAATTGCCTACATCGATTAGTCCCCCTGATGAGATGTTCATCGTTGCAGGATCCTTGCCTCAATCACTCCAGACGTTGATCCTACCTGGATGGTTTCAATGTCTAACAAAGGACATGGCACCATCATCACTCAAACGTCTACAATATGGATTTTGTACTGGTGTTCCAGCTCAAGGGGAACTGCCATCGAATCTCGAGTACATCAGCTTCAAGGGCCTTGGTGGACCCCTGATGTCGGGGACGTGGCCCTCATCAATCCTCAAACTCAAACTTCCTTTGGACTATTCGCTTAACATTGTACCAGGCCAACTCCCTCCATCGCTCACAAAGTTGACCTTACGCAGGATTCGCAAACCCTCAGTATCGGGAGCATTTCCAGCGACATGTGTGTGGATGACTCATCGCCGCTGGCTTCGCTCCCATTACGGAGCTTGCGCTCCTTCATTCCCTACTTCCAAATTCTCCGCTCTATAGTTTTATACACTCTTCTTCTTTTAAAAAGGTATCCGTATCAATAATGTAGAATTGTAGTAGAAATAGAGACTTTAAGTTCAAAATATTAGAAATACTTTAATCCTAATTAAAGAAGGTTGTTTTCCTAATTCTACTACAATTCTACTTTCAGTACCTGTCACCGCCATAGCAGTGAGCACGTTGGAAAATGAGTATCTGTCTAATCAATGTAGAATTGTAGTAGAAATAGAGTTTAGAAGTTCAAAATAATAGAATTTAATTAATCCTAATTAAAGAAGGTCATTTTTGTAATTCTACTATTATTCTACTTTCGGACCAGTTAGCGCTGTAACAGTTTGCACGCCCAAGAGAGTTACCAGGAGAGTTGTTTCAGCACGCCCGAGAGTGTTACCAGGAGAGTACTCATCACGATGGTCAGCACGTACTTCCGATAGTTCACCAACTGTTCACCAATTGTTCACCGGTGTGGGTTGGAGAGAGGTGAGTTCTGTTTATTTAGCAGAGAGCGGAGTTTCCACTTTCTGTTGGTTTGATATCACGTCGTCAGTGATGTTGCTCCGTAACTTCAAAGAGAATTCTTGACCAAGATGGGGCTTTACGATAAGCTCAGCAGTCTTGTCGGAGTATGAGATGTGCCAGAGGTGTTCAACATTGGATGGGGGATTCTGGATGATGCCAATTCTCCTGGAGACGGACCTGAAGTCAAGGACCAAGTAATCAGTGAGCTTGTTCTTGAAATGATAATACAGGCCACCAGGGAGGAAGCGATTGAGGTGACCTGTAAGCTCATCTCCCTCTMGTGTCAACTCGATGCCCCAGTTGAGACCGGTGTTGACGAAGAAGTCCATCAGGCCCAATGCCTCCGTGGTCTTCTGATGAGTGGTATCAGCCAGTGATCGCTTCTGTTTCTTCTGTGCTCGATTCACCTCCACAGGGTTGGACGTCGGGGCTTGCTCTTTCAAGGGGATGAAGTAATCATCGTGGCCGGCAACTGGATGAATGTTATGGCCATCGGGCATGACTGAACGTGCTGCGCGATAGAACTCTTTCTGCCAGAATTCCTCCAAAGGGTCTCCATCGGTGCCAGTGGACAATGTCGTCTTGATAGATTTGTGGTCGATTCTTTCGAGTACAGTTTTGATGTATTCTTTGAGAGACACCAATGACGCCTTGCCGACAAGCTGTGCTCCAAAGCACCTGATGAAGTAGATACCACGGAAGATTGGCGAGGCAAAGTAGAGTTTGGTGAAGTGTCGATAAAAAAAAAAAACAAAAAAAAAAAAAAAAACAAAAAAAAAAAAAAAAAAAAAAAAAAAAAAAAAAAAAAAAAAATATGTATGCTTGAAGGGAGCTCC